CCGCTCCTCCCCACGCCTGCAGCGGTGCCTGGGGTTGTTGTGCCCCAAGTGCAGGACCCGGCCCTGAGCCTTGCTGACCCTCACCCAGTGCCTGGGCCCATCGACCCAGCCTGGCCAGGGCCCTCTGCAGAGCCTCCCTGCCCTCCAGCAGATCAACACTCCTGCCCAAGTTGGTGTCATCTGCAAACTGACTGAGGGTGCGCTCGATCCCTTCATCAAGATCATCGATAAAGACATTGAACATATTGAACATAAAGGGCCTGCGTCCTAAAACCAGCCTGAGATGTGGGAGCGGCGGCCTGTGGTGCGGGGAGGGCGAGGCGGTGAGGCGACAGCGGCGAGGAGGCGGCCGTTGCCCGTTTCTCCAGCCTGCCTCCACACCAGGCGTTTTCTTTCCTTCCACCTTTGTGCACTGCTCATGCAGACAATCGTACATACCTCTCATGCTTTGTATTGGCACCAGGAGCACATCACTGCTGAGAAGGAGGCATCTCTGGGCCACATTCAGCGATGGGGACATCTTTAGCCAAGCCACCTCCCTTCTCTTCTGAAATAGGGCCTAAGGGATCTTTAACAGCCAAGATGACAGACAAGGCATCACCACTCATTTAATGTCTCCAAAGGGGGAGAAGAAGAAAACGCCTCATATATTAGACTGTCTGACACAATCTTCACCTTCATACGGATGAAACTCTGCGTCCGTCTCACTGGAATTAGACTTTATGGCCCTAGAAAGAAACCTGGTTTGAGTCTGGTGCCTACACCATCGAACCCTTCCTCGCAGACAGCCGTAATTAAACAGAACTGAACACTATGCAAATATTGCAATAAGTAGTTCTTCTAAGTGTAAACAAAATGCAGCGTGTATTCCAGCATTCAAAGCATGTTCCTGTTATTCTACAGATGCATTACCACTGTTATTTCCTTTCAAGATCATAGGTTTGATAGTGCTCCCTTTCATGTTAATAAGAATTTTGACTTTGACGTCAGTCAGAGAAGAACAGAGTCTTTTATGTTTATTTAACCTGACTTTGTCTAGTAACAGAAAACACTTTTGCCTCATTTTACCAAGAAACCATCGAAAAATTAATTTTCATATTTCTTAGCTTTAGCATATTAGGAAGAAGTTAAGCCATACTCTCATCAAAGTCCCTGAAACACAGATTTTAAAACAGATTAAGTAAGTTTCCTGTGTGGCCGATGCAATATCTGTACTCTACAACCTGTCACTTTATAAATTATATGAATACTTTTCAATATCTTAATCTAGTATAATTACTTCATGCTTAAACAAATTGACTTTATCTTCCAATTACCCAACCCCTTTACTTGAAAAAGAACACAGAAATAAAACTGAAATAGATTTATCTATTTATCTATTTATCTGTTTATCAAGATCGGCATCTGTACATCCCGGCTTGCTCAGTGTCTGTGTTCTGTGATCTGTTGGAAGGGATGGACACACCTTGAAATATTGTGCTCAGATAAAAATGAGAAAAATATAAGGTTTTTTTTTTTTACTTTTGTCTGCACTCGCTGAATTTGCAGAACTGGAACTCTCATAAGATCTGTCGTGGGGTTTTTTTGTGCTTTCCTATTTGTAGCATCTGTGACAATCATTTATCTTAAGGTGTTCAAAGCTTATTTAAAACGTGCAGCGTCCGGGAGAAAGTAACGCCAGTATCATCAAACCATGTCCCCTGTCCTTGCACAGCTGATAATAGCTGCCAATTCGGTCAGTAACTACGCCTTCAAACAAAGCTCCTGCTCCAGCAGTCTGACTGCGTTTTGTGGAGCAGTTGCAATCTGAAGCACCGGGTCTGGAAGACAAATTCCATCCTGAGATGCATAGAGATAAGAAAATTCAGATTTTTTTACCATCCTGAAATGATCAGGCTGTTTGACTGAATAAATCTTAGAGATCTCCATGGGTGACTCCACCACTTCACCTCTAAAATGCTTTTGCATTTTGCTTTTTTTGCCTCTTAGCACCAGCCCAGTTTTCTTTCAGACTTGCCGCATGTCGGCTGCAGTTTAGGCCTGGAAATCCCAAGACATCTGAACAAATAATGCCACTTATTCTTTTGAATTCCATAATATTTCTGATTTTCCTTCTACTAAAATACCCTGGGTTTAGTTTACTGGTGTTTATTCTGAGATCGTCTTTATCACCTTGAAAGGCAAGGGATTATCCCCTTAATTATCCTTTTAATCCTTCTGGTGTTTGCAATGTTAAAGCAACACTGCTTAAAAATTTAACAAATATACGGACTAGATTGTCTTAGAGACCGGAGGAATTTGGCCAAGAAGGCGGGTGAACTGGTGTGCCGTAGCGGCTATGGTCCTGTTACCTTTAAGCTTACTCACAAAAAGCGGTGAACTGTACTTCTGAAAAGAGACATTAAACAGGGACACCTCCCTTTTTAGTGGTAGTAAGTAGCTCAGACAGCCTAGGAATATTAAAGAAGAAGGTTTGTAAGGTGAGGTAGCACCTTTTACTGGACGAATCATTGGTTCAGCGGATAACGCCACCTGAAGCACCTTTTTGAGCAATCCTGCGTAGCACTAAAACTCACTTTTACTGTGTAGGAATTTTTTAAGCACTCTAAAGTACTTTTTAAAAACCACAAACTTTCAAATACATTCACGTTTATTCTCTCTCCTTCTCATGTACGCCAGGAGAACACTTCCTTACCTTTTGGGAACAATAGGATATTATAGTTGTTCTAGTTTGTACAGTATTCTCAGACTTCGAAGCAGAAGATCCTAGGGATGCGCATAATCTTCCGTCGCGTCTACTGTTCTCGCCCAGCCAAAGCTGTGATCAGGAGGGCTACGGCCTGGCAAGACGTGTAAGCACACGCTTTGCATTTCAGCGGGCACTCGCAGCTTAATGCTAAGCGTGTGTTTAAGTCTTTTGTTAGACCTGAGTCCCCCTGCGTCGCTAAGTACCGAGGTGCACGTGCGCTTAGCAGGAGCTTGATCGCGCTGCACGTTGCACAAGCGCACGGGTACCGAGGGCTGTCCCCTGCGCTGAGCATTATACACGCACAGAGCATTGCGCAACTGAGCCCCAGCCCAGGCTCAAGATAGCACACGTAAAGAAACAGTAAATAATACGTGTAATTAAAAGTAGTTTTAAATCTATCTATCAATGGAATTTTTTTATGAGTAGCATGATTACTGAAGGAGGGACAACAAAAGGTAAACAATAAGTACGTCATGGAGTACTGTTAAAAATGAAAGAGAAACTACAAACTTTCTCCTTTCCGAAAGGAGACCTTCTCCAAGTTTGACGTTTTATGTTTACCCAGACGCCTGAAGTTCTCCTTTTTGCCTCCAGTCCTTTTCCATCCCTCTTGCTGAGATCTCCTCCTGCACCTCCCCAGCCTCTTGCCCCTCGCTCTCTACCTCCGACATTCGCTGCCTTCGTTCCGTCTCTAATCGGTGACCCTCGGACCTCCTTTCTACCTCACTCTTGTTTACAGGCTGTTGATCAGGAACCCATCGGTATTTCAGACTACGAAACCAAAACGCTGAGAGCTGCCAATACAAATGTTTGTGGAGGGAAGTTTTTCCTGCTGGGTTGAGATGAGTTTGGGCCCTTGACTGAGGATCTGTTTCTGGACAGCAATTACTGTGCCTGCTCCACTGGCTTCCCTCACTGCCTGGCATGCTTTTCTTTGCTGCGGCAGTATGAAGTTAATATCTGTGGCAAAGAAAGCATACATTACTCACTTCTACTGATTGCCTTGTTACAAAATACTACAACAGGAATATTAGTTAAATGGAAAGTAGCCTGTTTACATTCAGGGGAAAGTCATGAGTCCATTTTCTCCGTAGTGACAGACTGGAAGCGAAGAGCAGAAAAGCGAGCCTGAAGGAGAGGTGAAGAGGTGATCACCGATTAAGCAACGACGTCAAGAGCACATCCTCTAATGACTGTGCTCAGACCGACAGCGAAGAGGACTCGCTGCCCACACAGCCGCTGCCTCACGGAACAGAATTCCACAAGAAATTCCAGTCCTCCAGAAAATGTGCCGAGCAAGCAGCACGCCCAGAGTGATCAGCAACCCCAAACGATTAAAGGGCCAAATTCGCCTCTGCTGTCACTGCAGTGAGGCAAGCAGAATTACACCAGAGATACATTAGGAACCCAGAGCCTTGGCAGGTCTAAAACCAGCATTGCTAAACACTGCGGTTAGAGGAAGAACAATAAACACTCAGAGCTCAAGCTATTTCCTACTGAACTGACCGAATGCGCATTTTTGGACACAGATGAGTGTTTACCTTGGCATTGAGGGGTGTCATCTCGGGTTCCCCCTTTTTCCGTTCAGGCACGCTTTCCCCCAAACCCACCCTGATGGATGGCATGCCCCAGCAGTGCTCCCTCCGGCAAGGGGGGCTGGCGGGGGCTCAGTTCGCTCCGCGGCTCGGCAGCACCATGCTGCCAGTTCACCTGCCTGGGGCTGCTGTAGGCGAGGACCCCCGGACTGAGCAAGAACCATGGGCAGGTCAGGGGCTGTTACTTGTTAGACACCCTAAATGGGAAAGTGCTGGGGTTAACCCCACCCCTCCGTCCTTGGCATTTTCTCTGTGTCCTAATCTCTGCTTGCTAGCAGGAGGCGCGGGGTGGTGTCTCAGCCAGCCTGCTGGAATGCAGCGCGGCGGAGCCCACACCTACGCCCCGCCGCCCGAGGCTCAGCAGACGTCGCTGCGTTGGCCAGCCTCTTATCAACGGCAGCAAAACAACCCCGTATTGACCATGCTTGTGACCACAGTCGTAGTTTGAACTTCGTTCAATGACGAGCACGGACACGGTTACATCTTGTTTGGCTGTGCTGTCCCAAACTGTGCTGAACTCGGCATGTGCTTGCCTACAGTTAAGCCAGAGCTGTACGCTGCGGCTGTGAAGATGTTCCCAGATCAACAGAGCTGTGTTGGCAGAGATCCCTAATGTGCTGTCAAAACCCTGCATTGACTGGTGTAGCTTGTTCGACTTGTTATGTGGGGGTTTACTTTGCAACGTGTCGATGTGGCTGGGCACACAGGGGCGGCTCTTTTCTGGCATAAAGAAAATAGTACCTATAGAGACGGTACTCCTGAACTGCGTAGATGATTGCTGTGTAGGCACATCACCGGTTTAACATCGATTCAGTCTTCCAGCGAAGACGCAGTTCTGAAAAAAGCCGAGGAAACGAGAGCTCTGGTTTGGTCTGATTGTTTACATCCGCGTGTGTTGCATGCATGCCACTTGCCTACAGAGCAGCTGTATCTATTAATATGACATTAATAAAGGATTTATAGCTAGACAACATTCCAGCTGGAGAGTTAGCTCATTCACAGGGTGATGTCCTTAGGCACCCAGTCTGAGCACTGCACTAAGAGGCTACAAAAGGTTTTGGACCTGGGGTGAATCTTTCAAGGGCTTCAGCAGAGTGTTGTCAGTCATGCAGAGGTATATCACAGCTGGAACTGGTGGTACACAGTCGGTAAAAAGCTGTAGTGCAATTGTAGAGACACCTTGCCTGCAAATAACACCCTACTTTCTGTCACTTTTCTATCTAAAGAAGACTAAGTATATATATTTTAGATATCATAACAATATAACTAATTTATAGGAACTTTAAAAAACAAAATATTTTATTGTATCACCTTACCTACTGAGCTTCAGTCCATTAATGCTAACAAAAATCACCCCTCTACTTGCCTCTGAGAAAGAATACGTTACCGATTTTTGCAGCCAGTTGCACTGCTCTCTTGCCTTCTTTTACCTAATGAAATAATATGAACTTTTGAAAAAGAAGCACTTCTGGAAAATGAACCTGCCTTCACCCTCATCTATGGGTATGTTTTTAGAATACAGGTGTCCCTTTTCATCTGTGTGAAGCCTATACAGTCAAAAATAGAAATACCGCAGAACACCTGCCCTAACAGCAGCTTGGAGTGCAAATATTGTCAGTTAGAGAGATTTGTTGCCTTTTTTTTCTGCAGATTGCCAGAGAATTTGTGCAACGGGGTGCAGATTTTCTGTTAAGGGGCAGAACAGGTGATTGCGGTATGCTGGTACGGCATTTAGCTGCGAGCAAAGGGACCGGCAGCTCCGAGGCAAAGCCTCGACGAAGTTGCGGTGTCTGCTCCTGGGTGCAGATGAAAGCTGGGTCTGTAAGAGGCAGGCTGACAAGCCCAGCTTGCGTTTCCTCTGCGCAGTGCAGCGAGGAAGACGCCTGCGATTGTACGTACACACACACGCGCACACACACACACACACACACACGCACGAGTTTCCTCCTTACAGTGCAGAGAGGAAGAAACATGCTCGCACACCCCACTCCTACAGACACAAGCACGTACGTACACCAACTGTTCAACGCATATGTGAAATACTACGTTGTCAGAACAGACCCTAACAAAATTGTTAATTTTTTTTTTTTTTATGTATTTGTTTTGAGAAGATGGCTTTTGATTTTAAGGGAAAGGAAATCTACCGTCTACAGCATTTTTAGACTACAGGTTTTACTGCAGAAGGTGTTTTCTGTTCATATGATAGATACCACATCAAGATACGGGAAATAACTTGCAGTACTTTATTTTCCTGTTCTAAGAAATCTCTTCATACTGAGGAGACACCTGGTGATGTTAGAAGTCTTTGATGGGACCCCATGCGAAGCTATTTTTGAATGTTTTGGCTCTCCAGCAGACAGCAGAGTGAATAGCATTTGCGTTTTGAAGGAGTGGAATTAAGAAATCCCTAAAAAAGCCCCCCAGTTCAGAAAGTCTTGTTAAGGAAAGCAATTCAGGATATATTGAAATCTCACCAAGTTAATGTTAAAGACGTGTATTGGCCTGAATTTAAGATCACAGAAACCTGGGAGTGTTTGTTGGAAGAGAATTCTGTTGTTTTTCACTCCAACCTCCCACTCAAAGTAGGACTATCACCAACATTAGATCGGGTTTTGTGTAGATGAATGTTGGAAAAGCACCAAGGCTGGAGACTCCTCAACCTGCCTGGGTAACCTACTCCAGTACTACACTACCTTCCTACGGACTTTTTCCCCCTAATGTCCAACCTGTGCCTCCTAAGCCACAGTTTGTGGCCGTTAAACCTTGTTTCTATCTTCTGATAGGAGTTTGGTTCTGGCATTTCTGTAACTGCCCTTCAGACAGTTGTGAGCAGCTCTTAGGTCAGCCTTGGCCTCCTCTTCCTCAGGCTAACAAGCCCAGCTCCACCAGCCTCTCGCTGTCAGTCGGGTCCTCTGGGCCCCTGGGCAGTTTGGTATCTCTTCACTGGGTCCTCCCTGGTGTCTCCGCATCCTTCTTGAGCTGGAGGAGAGCCCTGCACCTCTTGCAGTAAAGCTGCATGCAGCCTCCAGGTCTCACTGAGTAGAAGGGGATAATAGTTTCCCTCATCCTAATACAGCCCAGGATCCAGTTGCCTTACTCAAGATGAGCGCACGCTGTTGGCTCATGTTCAGCCTGGCATCTGCTGCAGTCCTCAGGTCCTTTCCAGCAGGGCTGCTCCTCACCCAGCAGCTTCCCAGCCTTTACCAGGGCAGGGGTTTTTCCTGGCCCACGTGCAGGACCTGGCATTTACCCTGCCGTACCTCAGGGGTTTCTGCTGGCCCAAAGGTTCCTCACGTCCCTCTGGGCTGAGGCTCTGCCAGGCCACCACTAAACACGTCTCATCGTCTGCGCCCTCTCACTGGATCATGTCCATTCTCAAACACAACTCTTATTCTGCTCGGAGGCAGCAGTCCTCCCCAGGGCCATTTCTGACCCTTTCTCAAGGCTATTCAGGTGTTATATAGTAAAGCATCGTGTGCTTTAGTCAGACCAGTCACTCACTAATGAGGTGAACAGGCAGGAATATCCAACTCACAGCAATACTACCTTATCACTTAACAGTGGACACAGTGGTTAAGTAAAATGTTCTGAGTTTCTGGTTCATATAACTAGTCTTTAAAAAAAAATCAACCGCATTATGGATGGATTGGAATATTTACACCCAAAGTCCTGTGCTGGGCTGTGTGGGCACCATTTCCATTCCTTTCGTACCTCCAGGTCTCTTAACTCTGACGACGTGGAGGAGGTTGTGTTCCCACTGCCGTAGTTCTAATTCTCGGCTGTTCCTCTGCTATGCAACCGAGTGTATAGGATGAAGGTTTCCAGGAATGGGACCCCTTTGTCCAAGTAAACAGATCTCTGTTCTGCAATTTAGAAATCTCTTAAAATTTTAGTAGCTCTTTCTAAGTGTCAGTCGTTTCAGTGCTTGGACCCATTTCTTGGAGGTGGCAATGCAGTCACCCTAAAGGAAGAATCACGCAGAGGTAGCAGTGTGTTTACTTCCACTTCTCTAAGGATTGCATCACAGAGAAATACAGTTCTTGACAGTTATGGTGCAACGTTTCGTGGTTTGGTAATGCTTGGATAAACTAGGAACCAAATTTTGCCCCAGCTTCATGCAACAATAATCTTGAAATGCACGCGTTGTTGAATTCACACGGGACCGTTTGCCCAAAGGGCTAAAGACTCTTCCCAGACTCTTCCCTTGGGATTTCTAATATTTTCCAAAGAAATTAGAGCTGCTTCCACTGTTGGCAGCCGGCTGCTCTTGCTGCCATGCGAAGGGGGATCCCCATGCCTGTCATGCGCAGCAGGAAAATTGGTTCAGTCTCAGCACTACTAGAGTTTCCCATGGGGCTGTCAGGAGAACGATGACCTTATTTCTAGCTTATTTGCTTCTACTTCTTCCCGAGTGACTATTCCCATTAGCGAAGGACATGATCCCCGCTGCTGTGTCCCCCTTACTCTGAGCCGTCTGCTGGAGACCTGGAGATGATAGCATCCTGAATCCAAATTTCCCCCTGTGACGAGTGCGCATCACCACCGCTCTCCTGAAATTTAGCTACTTTCATTTGGCAGAGTTGGATGGTGTTTGCTGATGTGAAAAGATGCCACTGAAATTAATGACAGCATTAGAAATTCTTCCACTGATATCCTGTATGACCTCCTGGCAATAATAAATCCGCAGAATATAACAAATAGATACGTCTTTGGAATTGCTTGCTGAGAGCATTGCTTCAGTTTCTTGGATGAGCTGCTTTTTCCCCTTAATTAGCAGAACTGTGTCTGGTTCATTTCAAGACTTATTGAAAATTAATATTAACTGAGGCCAGTTTCTGTTTAGTTACTGTGCTAAGAGGATGAGGTGCAGCCTCAGTCCTGGTTTCCATCACGCAGACACTGGAAATGGTCATTCCGCTAAAGATATCGCGCAGATGATTGTTCTCATCGCGAAGCTGCTCCCCGTG